TCGCGATGATTACAGTCATGATTCCCGCGAAACGTAGGGCGTGTGGGGGGGGGGGGAAATTGAAGCGCAGCCAAGGCGGAGTTTTCCACCGATGATGCCATCCTAGATCCGCTACAACAGGCGGGAAAGACTGCTCCAGGCTGCGTTAAATTCACGCCCCTTCACACGCCCTATTGCTTCCAGGAATTATGGCCATATGTTTATGCAGTCCAATTCATACTCATCACGCTGAAATCATTTCCAGGCACGTCCGTGGCTTTCAGGCAGGGCCACCAACGCCGACATGTCGGACACAATTCGCATATCTCGTATAATATGCGACTTTTTGATCCTGACGTGTTGCGGTACGTTTTTTCTATGATGTTCTTCGAAGTTTGATTTTCAATTTGTTCATATTTTCTTGAATCCCGGAGTTCAACGAAAGTGGACCTTTGGAAGCGAGGAGAAACCTAATCGGTGGGGGAGGTGGGACCACCTAGCCGTGCCTTTGTATCCTCTCCCCGAGAAAAGTCAGGCTCCAGAGTGCAGTCTATCGAGGCGTCGAGGGCTAGTCTCGCAGGAAAGGCATACTGCCACCGAGCCTAAACCTAGGGAAAGAGACGCATAGGCTATAGCGAGTGGCCTCCCCCCCCCTCCCCTCCTCCCGCCCAACTGCCTTAGCGTCGGCTGTTCATATTAAGGTTTATTGGAATGGCAGTTTGGCTGTATGGATGACATGCAGCACATACGAATCACTGAGAGAAATAGGAAAGGAAGAGAAAAAAGAGGCGTCACAACGGGCCTCGTACCAGGACCCAACTGTCTCAAAGTGGCAGTGCTCTGCAGTTGCATTGCGCTACTCCGAGTCGGTGCATCATACGCTTTTCTAGTTGGTGACACAGGCACGCAGATAGCCGACATGCCGCAGCGTTGCCACGCTGAGCGGATTAGGTCCCAACGCGAATGTGCATCACTTCGCTGTTTCTGTCGCGCTCGCTGCCATTGATATCCAAAGCTTTACGCTCGAAACGGGTCCTGCTGTTTACTTAGGAAAATTTGGTGCCGTGCATAGGACGTGAGGG